GAAAATAGGAGGACTCTCCACCTCCCCCTCCTCCACGAACGCCCATCACACGAACCGGCACTCTGACTAACCCAAAGAAATCCAAGCCTTCTCGTCCCTCGTCAAAAATCCAGAGAAGTATATCTATGAGCACAGGTAACCTCTCCAAGTCTGCCTCTCAAGACGACATGACGAGTCACGCCAGTTACATCACCATCCTGAAGTCGAGCACCAAAGCCTCGGCCTCCAGCGAAGACGTCAGCCAAGCCAAAGCCTCCCCGGGGTCCCCCTCCAAACAAAGGGTAGCCTCCAGTAACGATTCTCTCGCGTCGTCCTCCAGTGAATTCCTCTACTGAAGAATTACTCTTAAAATTTTCAATAAATCTCTAAACATCATTAATGAACTACAGCTCAGCCAGTCTGGAGGTGAATATATTCTCTATTTTTGGGAATTGGAAAAAAAATTGATTTTATGTACTGATGTGTTTAATTCTTTATACGATCGGTAGCATGGATACAATATGAAAAAAAGACGAGGGTAGAGGGAGGTAAAGGTTTTATTATGAGAAGTTGGTAAATGTAACAGCTGAGAGGCAGAGTTATCCTGTTTAACGCTGAGAGAAATAAAGATTCAATGTGATAAAAGAAAACTTAAAAGAGAGGAAACGGTTAGATGGGATCTCTTTAGTAATCATATTGAAACTGTCTATTTACCTAGAATAATACAGAATAGGGATGTTATAAATCTTGGTTTTAATAGAATAACAAAAGTGTATTGATTATGTTTAATAAAGAATCAATAGAATGACAGAGGGAAGATTTTGAGATATAAGGTAGGAAAAGTGTACTAGTGGAAGAAGAGTTTGGAACCAGACTTGGAAGAGATTATGTGGGTCACTTTTTAAATTAAGGAGCATAAAACTTACATGTAAAATTATCTAATGAAATCGATAATGTTTTTATGATATTTAAGGACCCGGATAGAGTCGTTAGAAAAGCAATGTAGGAACGTTAGAAAATGTATTAGATAAATACTGATTGTTGTCTATAGGCAGTGTACTGTATGTGAGGGAGAGGTGAAGTTGTTGCTGATGAAAGTAAGATTATAGTAGGATATGTAGTGTCACCATGATTGATTGGTGTTTGCCACGATGGGATGATAATTGAGGTTGGTGCTGTTGATGTGGTTGGTTGAGTAAAGAAAGTTGAATATGTTAATAAGTTTGGTTGATTGAAGAAAATTGATGGTGCGTGCGTGCGTGCAATATGTATGAAGCATTATCTGTTAATTTTAGTAAATAAAATTTCTCTTCCTCAGGACAATGTGAAGGCAGGTATGCAGAACAAAGGCCTTCGTTCACCATCACCAGCGCGTAAGGAGTCCCTCGCCAGATAACTCAGAGCGGCCACCCTCGGTGCCTTCCAGACTTCGCAAGCCACAGCTCAGCCCAACTACTTCTCCTACGAATAATCTGCCAGGCACACACCGTCTGCGTCCTTCGGGCAAATTAATGGCTCCTTCCGGACCTACCGGCGTAAGGCTCCCGCGAGCAGTCCCACTTCTCCTCGAGGCAGGGCTGGATTCAGGAGTGGGCAAAGTGGGCAGCTGCCCAGGGGCCTCCACATCTTACAATATTTTATTTGGATTATTTTTGTTTTCATCCTTTAAAATTCATGTTTATCTAATCCATCACGTAAAACTATGTTCAGCAAGAAGCGTGATAGAAATTAGGCAGGCAACTCCTTGAAATTCATGAAAACCTGGTTTTCCTATGAACCGACTTGAAACCACATGAATGACTCCAGTCATGTCTCACTTTTGTGTGTGTGTTTGGAATTTGTACTCTATCAATAAATATACAGTTAATTAAAAATGTCTCAATGTTCTACTTTCCTCAGTGTAACTGCATATGGCTTCAAAATTCTCCTAAGAAATGCTCAAATTTCACAATTTTCCCGGGGGGCTTATAGCGCCCCCCCGGAACGCCCAGATGTTTAGGCTCGCTTCACTCGCCACCCCACCCTCTTGGGTAGTTATAATGAGGGGGCCCTCCACAAAGAGGCTGGCTGCCCATGGGCCTCCACAGGTCTAAATCCAGCACTGCCTCGAGAGGGTACTCGCTCCCCCCAAAAGACTCCCAGAATCACTCGTAAGGCAGCCAGCCGATGCTGACGAACCTAAGCCTCGGCTCCCCGCCAAGAATAGTCAGTCGCCGGCTCGGAGAGTTCCGGCATCGCCGCCGGCCACCGCCAACGGCATCAAAAGTCCCGTGCGAACCGCCGACAAAAATTCCACTGCTTCGAGACTGCCCGGACTGGATAATTCCAGCGTGGCTCTTAAAAACCGCCTGAACCAAGAAGTCGCCAAAACTCTCTCCCAAAAACAAGACGGTCAACGGCACGGATCCGGACGATTCCCCGGACTCTGGTAGCTTCGATCAAGATTCGTTAGAAGAAGCAGAAGTGATGCCTCCGGCGTCTAGAGATGCCTTCCGCCGTTTTACGGGAGCGGTCGGTCAGTCCCCGACGGAGATGGTAGCGACCTGTGCAGAAGCTGAGCGTTTCAGCGGCACCGCCACTCAAGACGAGGCAAAGTTCCAGGAGGCCAGAGAGGCTCTCACCAGTGAATAGAGACGGTTCGTAACGGCCTCGAAGTTATTCGTCAAGTCGGCCACAGAATCCGAAGACACGTTATTGCAGTGTCTGTCGACGTGTATGAAGCTGATGCAGCGCATGGTGGACGTGACCCAGCAGGTGGTGCGGCACACTACCACGCCTCTCCACGTGGTAGTGAAGGTGAGGGACGTGGCCACCACCTACCACTCCACCGTCCGGGCGGCGCTGGATGGACCATCCTTCCATGAACACCCTCATGACTCAGGCCACCAACCTGGCCGGCGTACTCACCTCTCGCTCAGTGTGTTCAGCCCGTGAGATCCCCGACGCTCCGACGTCGCAGAATCGTGTGCATTATCGTATTATTAAGATCGCTCTCCCAGTAAAGAGTTGCAAAAATCGCCTTTGACAGTGCAATGAATGGAAACTTACAAAAGAGTACTTAATGTATTTACACGTTTGTAGATATAGAAATAAACCCGATACGCATAATGTCAATCACCGTAGCCCGACCAGCTTCTGTAAATAACGATAGAAATCTCAGGCATTATGAACAGTCAGTCCGGAGGAGAGTGAGAGCACCGGCTCCAGAGTCGAGTGTCCGGGACGAAGCTGGGACAGTCTGAGGGTGACGTAACAGAGCTGTATATTTCAGTACATTGATATAATTGTGTATAACAATGCCTAAGTTACCCCCAGTCTCGCATTTGACTATAAATTTCCAAGTGTGTTTGTTTCTCAAATGTACTTAATATAGCAGCTTTTTCAGTTACTTTTTTTTTATTATTCCAAGTTTATTGGCACTACTTGCAATTGTTCTCCAGATTTTTTATTTGTTGTACAATATAATTGCAACTTATGGTTTGCTTCCACTTTCCATTAATTTGTTCTTTGTCTTGTACAGTTTGAGGCCCTCTACCCCTCTCGGTGTATATAACTTCTATACAGCAACAAAACTTGTCACATGTCAGCCCCAGTTAGGAGTTGTAATTCAGTTTATCTGCTGTATTTTCTGCTAAATAGTGTCATAGTATATCCCGTCTGTATCCCCTTGTGCATGTAGATAACTAAGGGTACCGGGGTATACACTGTAGGGAGATATATCTACTGTAGCTGTGAGGACTATTAGTGAAGGGTTAAACAATCAACGGTTTCTTGTATAGGAATGTTGTAATATAATGTGAATGACAGTACAGTAATGGAGGTTGGGAGTACGTTACTGTAGTGGTAGTACTGTAATAAGTACAGTAGTAATTATGGTGACGAGTACTAGCAGTGGTGGAGGGTGTAGTAGTACAGCTATACTTAAGGTAACAAGTTATGTAAATCTACCACCCAAGACGAGTGAGCTCAGACGTGGTGGCCAATGGAGTTCCTAAACATATGAAGTAGGAGTGGATTGTTCCAGAAACGCTGCTGCCTACAGATTCAGGGTAGGAGCTACCAGTACAAGGGCCTCGAGGTTGTGAAGGAGAAGCTACTTCGAGTGGTTGGGGGAAATGTAGGCGTTAGTATTGTGCTGGAGACATTCCTCAGTAGCCAGACCAGGAGAACTACTGACCTCACCCAGAACATGTACCGTGTTGAGCTAGGTTATACAAGCATTATATAAACTCAATTTTCCTCGTTTATCCTCCCATTTCGGGTCATTGTGGTAGCAGGAATCTGGCCTCAAATACAGAATTGTTCTTCCCTCGGGTATTCACCAAGTGGGTCTTCCACCATAATTACTGGCCACTGAACTACCACCTTTCTATTTATACCGATTATGAATTGGCAAGGGAAAAATGGAATTAAAATGGACGATAAAGCACAAGGGGTTCAAAGACAAGAATTGATGGAGCATTTACATTAACAAGTATAGAGTCGGTTGTATCATGACCACACAGCATCTTATATGTATTCAACAGTAAATTCGGCCACCTAAACTGCCAGGTTTCAAGGAGGTATGGGACCAGGTGGACTCCTGTGCAGGTTTGAGAAAGTGGCTGTGGACACCAGGTGCAGTAAGGATACACGCCTACTATCCTCACTGGTAAGGTATATTAATTTCTATATTGCTTCCCTGGCAGATAATCAATGATCAGTTAAAAAAACCTTTGCTCTAGGCTCGAGATTCCATTCGTACATTCATTCAGGTGGGAAGCTTCAGATGGATGAAAGTTTAGAGTTCACACATTGCTCGATTGAAGTTACCAAGTAAATGTATTGTGCTAGATGGTCTGGTGGCGTCTTGAAGCCGAATTAAGGCTCATCTAGCAAGAACAATAGTAGTTTCCGATCTTATGTGAACCTAAATTTTTTAAGCTGCTAAATTGTATACAAGTTAGAGAAATGTCGAGTCTAGTCTTAAATTGGTCTAAAACTCCCCAGAACACCGTTATTAAAGGAACTAAAAAACGGAATTTTAAAATTTAAAATCAAGTTTATTGTAGAAATATGTCGATCATATCTACAGTTAAATAAATACAGCAGTTCCCGCTCCTATAATTCTTCCCCACTCTAGCCGGGTTCGTCCTTAACTGCCCACATAACGAAGGTAGGTAGGTCACTGTGCCGTGGGTGAAGCTGGATTGGTCCACTTTCAACTAGAACGAAACTCAAATTCATCCCCTCACTAAACCATTTCCAGTAGTTATTCCACGTAGTTCTCGGATATCTGGAACAAGCAAGTAATCAGAGATTAAATATAGAAGTATACTTTGTATCAAACTCAATCACACAGAAATAATTCACTAAATACATTAATATATAACCAAGTTATATCAAATATAAATAGTTAATCAACAAAACTCATTTTTAACCAACAAGAAAATTGTACTCAAGAAAAATAACACCAGCATTTGAAGAATGAAGAGATGTATATCCATGGATCCAGTAGTATTACTTCCTTTGAGGTTATGATCAGTACTGACCTCCCGTCACAGCTTTCAGAGTATTTAAGGACGGCAGTGGTGGGGGGAGGGGGGTGATACATGTGAATTAGGCGGGAAAATCTTAACTGGGCTAACCACCTCTTAACTGGGCTAACCACCTCATCACAAGTGTTTAAGACATTTCATTTCTCGATAATTGTTCCATAAAACTTCACTATGTCGTGATTATTTATCGCCTTTCTATTGCTAGTTTAATATTTTTCTATTTATAACTTGTTAATTTTTCACTATAGAGATTAATGAATGTGGTTTACCGGGAGTTAAACGGGCGTAACAACCATTAGCGGCTTTACTGTGGTGGTGTCTGTTTCTGGCCGCCCATAGAAAGTCGTAGAATTCGTCATGCTATATTTATCAAAACTTCAAAAACCAGATCACAATTGACTTTGATGTGAAAGATTATGAATAAAAGAAATACAGCGCATATTAAAGTTGGAAGTTTCTCTACATTTGTCACTTCCACATAAATACACATCTGAATCTGTAGATAATGGTCACTCATAATAAGCTCATTTAAAAATGAAAAGTCTTTAAGCTTGGTAATAAAATAAACTAATTCAATAAATGTCTGGCTGGGTTCCTTCTATACATTCCTAAATCTACTATAGAATTCATTGGCCTCTTTAACAGTGTAAGCAACTGCCTATAGCCATTCAAGCAAACCATAAAGTCTCAAAAGCCTTATTGGACAACATCGTGACAAGTATTGGTAACAATAAAAATGGTTCAACGTCACACTGATTCTAAATAATAAAAGTTTCACCCTTTAAGTAAACCAGCAGTACTTAAGTATTCCAGGCAGTATATAAGTACCACCAACATATAGGCTTTACTAACGTACAGTATTGTTAATGAATGTGGTGAGAATACTTCAAAGTTTGTATATATATAGTGCCCCAAGAACGAAGGCACATTTTCTTTCTTGTTAAATTACTGAAATATTTATGTTTTTCAGTTATTTCACATCAAAAATCATTTTATTTTTATGGACTCTATTACATGCTAACATAGTTTTATGTAAATGGTAATAAATGATAATTCAAATAGCTGTTTTATATATTCAACGTAAAAAGGTAATAAGATACGGAATGATATGGAGGTGAGCGCCATCTATGAGTTAACAGCACTACTAAACCTTCATCACGGGGTACAGGGGGAGAGTTTCTCGTCTGGTGGTTTTTGGATCCATCACCAGCTGGAGCCACAAGACAGAGGAAGAAGGTGGAGGACGGACTAAGTGTACCACGATCTGACAGCCCCGAAAATATCGGCCTGAGGCATCGGTAAGACATTTATTCATAATATTATACCAGATATTTAACATTAATAATACTAAGAAGTTATTGGAGAGTTATTATGGTTAGACAGAGTGTATTTAATGGTTAATTTAGTTAATTGTGCTGGGTCGTCTAGTGAAGTACTGTATTGGTATATTGTTGCCACTATATAACATCAAAGTTGAAAGTATGTTTTTCCGGTGGTTTTTGATGTAATGAACGAATTTGACCTTCATTTGTGGCGCAAATCAATAGTTTTGAGATAAGCCCCTGGTGAATTAATATAAGTGGACAACCATGGAGTTGTTGATCAATGTGTTGTTCCGATGGTTTAGGAAAATATTCGTCCATTGGCTGTCCTCGGGTTTTGTATGAGTGTTTTTTTTTAGATTTTTCAGTGTTTTACTCAAATGTGCCCTTTTTTTTGTAAAGTAACGTTTTGCCAAAAAATAACATTTTCAATTTTAACAAACTGCTAATTTTGCCAATAAAATAGAGGTCAAATTTGAATAAAACACCAAAGTACACCAAAAACTAATTCTCATACCAAAGAACCTACCTAACCTAACCTACGAGGAGGAGACGAGTTAGGAGTATAACCTCGGGTAAACGCGGTGGGAACCTGCGGACAGCCAATGGACCAATATTAACCCACTTTTCTTCAATGACGTTTCCCTCACAAATGACTTAAATATAGCAGGGAGATTAGGTAATTTTAAGTAATTTCTGAGCAAAACGTCGTAGAAGAAACGTGTTTTAACATTGTCTAAACTATTGGAAAAACACATTGTTCAACAAAAAGTCAATGGTTGTCCACTTGTAAAAATTTACCACCCTGCCCCTCAGAAACTAGAGCTATAAGAATCGAGGTAAAAAGTGTCCAAAACGCACCAAAACCCATCGGAAAAAGTTTTGGATTTAACCTAACCTAACCAAACCTAAGCTAACGTGGGTGTGTACCGCCATGAACAGACATACATAATGAACTGTTAAATATCTCGCTTGAACGTATTTTGTTCCAGAAATGTTATTGAAGAAAAGTGTCTTAGAATTGTCAAACTTACCGATTGCAATTATAAAATCCCCGAGATTCGTTTAGCGACAAGTGAAATGGCAAAAATAGGTTTTCCCTAGTGTATTATGTTTTTCGAGCAATTCTAACCTTCATTTCTGGTATAAATGAGCCGTTATGGAGATATGACCTCAGTTACCGGGACGAGTTTGATTTTGTTCATTTTTTCCAGATGATGATGTTATTATAGTATTTTAAGAGGCGACATTTGCTAGAAGCTATACTGTACTGTATAATCTGATGTAATATAACCAACCAAAACGACCTACCTAACCTTACCTAACTTCCTAGCCAGGGCGTGGAATTGCCATATTAAACAAAGTACTTATTTTGATATCTGGTACCAATGAAAGCAACTTTATAGAAGCGTCACGGTGTAATTTGTATTTTTGTGGATGCAAGAGTGCGCTCGGACTCGGCGAGTCGGCTATAAACAAACGCGACGCGGCGAATCGGCCAATTTTTTGGAGGAGTGTTTACGGTAAATGTAATTATTCGCCACAGAGCACGGAGAGACATCGTTTTAGTGTCGCGTGCTCGGTTTTTCAGTGTTTTCCCCCCATTTCCTCCAACCTTCATTCCTTGCCCATTACAGGTGATTTAAGATCATATAAATAATTAATGAAAAAGTGTTTTTAATTAAAATAAAAAGTTGTCGCCTCTTTTAAAATATTATAATAAGAACACCTATGGAAAATATGAACCAAATCGGAAAAACTCTTGCTGGTGGTAGTGGTGTTCTGAGAAAAAAAGAAAAAACCT